ATTACACAAGAAATAAAGGAGACAATATGATGTAGGTAAAGAGAAAAAAAGATCGAACATGGATCTTTGTACATTGGTTTATTATTATAGCGGTACTTTGACACTGGTTATTTTAAGAAAGATAATATTTAGCCTCTTCGCTATTTTTGTCTATCTGCTTTCCCTCACACACACACACATACACACACACACACTCTCTCTCTCTCTCTTTCTCTCTCTCTCTCTCTCTCTCTCTCTCTCTCTCTCTTTCTCTCTTTCTCTCTCGCAAGCATCTTTTCTTTCATTTTTGTATTTGTTGAGAAGTCTTGACATCTCATCAAGCTTAGTAGAATTAAGTACGGAAGCAATATTTCTGTACATCCCGTTTTGGTGCATTCGAGAACGAGTTCTCGAATTAATCTCCCTTCTCTCTTTTTCTCTTACGCTCGATTTTCTCGATCTCTCATACACGCACATGATAAAAATTCTTCCGTCTAACACTCTCTCTGGCTTTCCGTCTGGTTTTATCATTCAAGCATACTATTTGCCACCGCGAATTTTTCATCTCCTACATTCTGCATTTCGGCGTTGCCCTACCTGCTTTTCTACCACGTCCATGTTTTTCTATCTTTTGCTAGCCTTATACTCTCTTCCTATTTTTATTACACTCGCACTTCATTTCAGTCACAATATAGTCTTCTCAGGAATTGAGCGTACCGCAAAGAGTCAAACTCTTGAGACGCGGCGTGTAACCATTATTATTGTCACTGTGTCCATTTTATCGGTCTGATTCCAAGTCAATCAGCTTAATTGTTAAATTCGCTCGCTTGTGGTTATTGCCACTCGATTATGACACGTTACAATGATTGCATATGTGCGATACCGAAATCAGAAGACATCAAACCGAAACTCGAGAGCTTTGACGGGTTTAGAGTTCTCTCACGCGAATAACTCCGTATATAATTTTTATTCATACTTTCCCTTCTACAATTCGTGTTTATTACGAAGGAGATTGAGGTTTTGCGCAATGCTGATCCACCGCGATGTATGTCGAAATAGTTCCGAATTTTTTTACAGTCTTTTCCCCCGAGTTTTTCGTTCGTAGTACGCGTCCAGTATTTCCCGACGGACGAGACATGTACAGCATCAGATGTGTTTGTATATGTCAGAATTTATATGAAATAACGCGGTGATTCTCGCTCGTGCTTTTAACGTCTTGGTTACAGTACTTGACGTCTACATCTCCGCCGTTGATGGAGTTTGAACAGTGTCGTCGAGTATTCTTTCCATCGAGTAGATACTATACCGTTATCGACATCTGGATGACTTTACATATTAAGCCACACGCGATTTTCAAAGAACTCGATAAGCCAAATACGTGATTACAGAGATTGATTTTATAAATAACACTTGTTTATATCTGTGTAAACTTTAGATCCGATAGAATTTATATCAATATATATCCCTAATCATTGTATTGCAAATATTTACGATAATCGTGATAATTTCACAGTTGTCTGCCTTCCTTTTGTTCTTTTCAGATTGTAGTTTTATGTCACGTTCGAATAATTTCTTTTTTTTTCCGATATTGTCCCCTAGTAATCCGCGACGTATTGGCGATTTCCGAAGCGATACGGATTAGCTCGGAATATCTCGTTCCCAACTTCGACAACTTTAGTCGCTCGTTCTTTCCCCATGGCTTCGACAGTCAGGAGGATCCTCCCAACTCTCTGATTAATACTTTAGTTATAGTACCTCTCCTTGGTATACCCATTTAGATGTCGACGAATAATAGGATGCGTGTCGATATTGTAGGTTACTTGAGAATCTTCCTCAAACACACATCGATCAACCGTGGACTAGTCGATTGTTGAGGCAGCGTCGATGCTTCTCGGTCACGATTCTCGACGTCCAATCGCCTGTCTCTCTCAAACAATCGGACGTGTTCCGATTCTGGTCACCAAAGCTCCGCAGTAGGCGTGAGAGTATGCACTTCGATATTCTCGTGACGATGATACCTGTCCGTCCGATGCACCGTTGCTCTTCGTGAGAGTACGACGGTCAGCGCCGCGACGGCGCCGAGGGCCGCGCCGACTAACACCAACATTCCGGGATGGGCACCGGCAGACAAAGCTTCCGATATTCTAGCGCCGGAATCGGTCACTCGACTGTTCAATTCTTCCGCTATCGTTTTCGAGTCGCGCTCGTCCAACACTACGTTTGCCTTCGTCACATTACTCATGCTGCTCGTGTGCTTCTCGATCGTTTTCCTTCCCACGTTCGAAGAGCCCGACGAGAAGATTTCGCCGACGCCTGACGCGGCAACTTTCCTCATCTTACTATTTTTTCGCGTCCCACCGTCGGCTCGATTATCGAAAATTTGCGAACGCGATTCCGCGTCTTCTATTCTCATAATGGATAGCTTGGGGTCGTTTGGTGCTCGAGAAGCTGAGACGACGATGTGCTTGATTAAATTCTGATCCATCGAGATACGATTTGTTTTATCGCTCTTTCGATCCGGTTCTCCGCTCGTCCGCATCGTGATTGACGACGTTACATTACGGAAGGATGTTGGCGCCTCATAGACTCGCGGTATTTTTTTCGATGACGCTGTTGCGGTGACGGTTTCTGAGATAGAGAGAAAATCTGAGTCAGCTACCATTTTTGATTCGGTTTTCGCGTTTACGGAAGATAGCGCGAGAAGATCCGTGACGTTATTATCAGAATTCGCATCTTCGATATTGGAAGACACCGTGACGTTTGGCTGATCAGTATTCGACGTATGTTCGAGCGTGAAGACGACAGATAGGGTAACTGAGGTGCTTGCAGCCGCCGTCGTGATGATTCCCGCGGTTGTGGAAACGAAATTTGACGGCGATGGCAGTTCGTGCAAAAATAATCCTGCCAGTTTCCGCGGATTTGAGCATCGCGCTGTTTGGTATTGTTGATTTGGTTCGCGGTGTTGTCTGATCCATTCGCCCAACCAGTAGAGATCTTCCGTGCAGTTCCAATTGTTCTTACCGAGTTTAAGAACGCGCAACTGCGGCAACATATACGCGACATCGGATCTGACGGTGCTGATGTTGGTCGCCGAGAGATTCAGCTCTGTCAGACTTTTGCAGGCAGATAGTGCAGCATCATCCGCCAGTAACTGCCTAGCAAGAACTGGACTACGCGACACATCTAACATTACCAAATGTTCTGGAGTCGGTACCGGAAACGCCATGTCGCTTTGTTCTTCCTGATGTCGTTGAAGCGTCGTTAGTCCTGACATTCGCAGCTTCGTCAAATTACTCGGTCCACTTAGAGTATTAGTTGATAACACTTTGATAGGATTATTGGATAAATCCAGCTCGGCGAGCAAAGGCAGTTGACCGAGCGCGCCCACATCGATTTCACTGATGGCATTATCGTTCAACATTAATGATCGCAGGTTGTATAAACCATTGAGATCATCGAGTTTCAATGCAGTTATAGTGTTTCGCTGCAGTTTAAGCATCACAAGACTGTTCGGTAAACTATCCGGTATCTTTGAAAGTACATTTCCTGATAGATCGAGTTCTTCCAAAACCTCCAGTCGTCCCAAAGCGTCATTCTCGATATCCATCAAACGGTTATCGGCAATATCCAACATACGCAACAGAGGATAACTGTCCAAGTCACCGCTGCGAATAGTAGTCAGTCTGTTACCAGCGAGTCTAAGTGCTCTGACCGATCTCGTTAAAGCAGCTGGAACTCGCGCTAATCCAGTGCGGGACGCATCTACCGTTTCCAATCTCCTTCCAGTGCCCAATAATAGAGATACGTCTCTCTCTTTTAGCGGATTTTCCGCTAGCCTTAGAACAGATAGTCCCGATAACGGTTGCAGCGTTCCCGAAGCTGCTCTGGCTAATCCATTTCGCGAAACATCGAGTTCCCTCAATCTGTCGAGACTTTCAAACCACCTGGCGCCCAGAACTTGCAGCTGGTTACCGCTGAGATCGAGTTTCTGTAAAGAGCATAGTGGCGTGAGCGCGCTATCCGGCAAGTCCGCCAACCTGTTGTCCGATAGATCGAGAAATTCCAGTCGATCGAGACCGCGAAACGCGCCCTCATCCACTGTGCTAATCGCGTTTTTACGTAAACTCAGTCGCACGAGTCTGACGAGCGTCCTGAAAGAATTGACACTGATGTCCATTAACGAATTGTCCGATAGATCTAGGCACGCCAGCTCGCTTAGATTCGTCGCGCGGATCACCAGCACGTCTCTTATCCGTGGCAAGTTGTTGCACGACAAATTTAATGACCTCAAGCGCTCGAGACCGTGCCACGATGCATTCAACGACATCAACGAACAATTTGTCACTGTGAACTCGACCAAATACGGTAGAATCTCTGTTGTACCTGTCGGCTCTTCCGACGACGACGTGTCGTTCATCTTCGAGGTGTCATTCGCTTTGAGATTATCCGAAGCATCGTTCATCCCGAGATCGTTCACTAAGTCGGCGGCTTCCAACTCATCTAGGAGGATATCAACGTCCGGTCCCTCGACGCTGTCCACCGACAAACTTCTCACTACCATGGGTAACTCCGATAGACCGGGTACGCGTTCGCGACACGTCACGTCCAGTAAAGTTGACACGTCGTTTTTCTCGACGTTATTCTGATGACACTCACAGAGATACGGACAGGCGGAACCGCTCGCCATCAAGGCGAGCAGCACCAACGGAAGCCACATCGCTTCCAAGGCGACGTTTTCACATCTCGTCCACTGTCCGTAAAGATCTCGCCGCGCCGTACGTCCGCTCGTGGACAGAGTGATGAAACGCGCGAAACGACGGTACCAGAGATCGCGAATGCGCGTGCCGCAGCCGCGAGTTCATCTACGGTGCTGAATTGACGCGCGATCGACGTTGGTGGCTCGATGATGATGGATGCCACCAAAAACGTTATTACGGCTTATATACGGATACCAATACCGGCGGAATACTATCAGTCTCGTCGAACGTGATGCCCATACGAAGGACTGACAAACACTGCGGCGCCCGACTCGTAGCTGCACCCGCCACCCCCACATTGCTCCTCTTCTCTTTTCTCCTCTACCCCGCGTTTCGTCTTCCTACCCTTCCGTCGGCTTCTCTCCCTCTCACCCTCAACGCCGATCCCCCTCTGTCTCCGAACTCAGTTGTGTGCCGCCACCTACAACCATTCCACCCTTCCGCCGTATCTTCCCCCTATATACCGGTATATAGCATATACAGCACTAACACCACTACTACAACCACCGCCATCGCCACCACTACCAGCAGCCGTCGCTTTTGCTCTCGAACTCGATAAGGGGCACGAACGCGCTTGCGTCCTCTGACAGCGTAGTGACGCGTAGAGCCGGTATTCTACGATTTCACCAACTACCCTTGCTACCGGCCGACTAGCTGCTGCGAACTTTTCTCGTCTTCCTTTATACTACTTCCATTTGGCTCTATTTTGATCTATTATTGCTTTTTAAATTGCAACAATTATACAGTATCACTATTAGCATCGTTAATGAAGCCATAAATGAAGCAAGCTTTTGTTAAGAAGAAACAATTTTTCATTAATTTATTTTATATATTTTATATATTTTTGAATGATTAAATATTGTATAAATGTCATTTTATTATTTTCGTATAGATATATCATAAAACAGTACGTCAAATTACTACACAAATTAGGTGGTTGCGTTGTATCTTGCTGTTTACTTGAATATTTAATGCAACACAATTAGCCAAGTGGCTAGTGCATGTGGTTTACCCTCATCCTTGGAACAACCGCGAAGATCACGTTCCCGGAAATATTATAGATACTCGTTAAGACAATAAGCACGCACTAAGTTACTAATCCAACTAAAACTTTGCCGGCAGTTTCATGAGTTTCAGCCGCTGGTGGGCTTTCTTAGATTCGATTCGCGTGCCGAGGTTACGGAGGTGCAAAGATGCAGTTCTCACGGAATAAGGTAAAAGGTCAGATAATATCTCTTCGCACGTATTCCATATATGTCCTAAAGCTATGTTATTGTTATATGATGACATCTGTCCGTTATTTTTTCTATTTTTCATCCTCAAATTATTTTTTCATTATTTTAAAGGATAAAAGTTCAAGCTTTTTTTGCTGATATTATTATACAATGCAACATCGTCTTTACATTATAACATATGTAATATCGTATTTTTTTGCTGATAACTTTAATTACTAGTGCATTTTTCGCGAATATTTCTGAATTCTCTTTAATATTGAACGCAGCGACTTGATTATATATCTGATATCCCTAATGAAAGAGGGCAAGTGTACATAACATATTCCTATATATTTACATACATGTTCTTCACGTGTATGATATACATGTGTGTGTGCGTGCGTGCGTGTGTGTGTGTGTGTGTGTGTATACATATATATGTATTTGATGTGCAACATGCGTGCAAGTATTCAGCGTCTAGTTTGCTGAGAACACGAACGTTTTCGGGTTCTATAAATTCGTATCTCTCTGTCCGTAATCCCTACGGCACTACCGTATTACTTGCTGGACCTAGTCGAGCAATCGAACCGCAATGATCTCGGTATAGCCTCGGCGTTTTCGATATACTATATCGATTTGCCGATCACTGACACCGTTACCATTACCACGGAGTTAAATGCTTGAGCCGCCAGACTTAAAGAGAGATTTCCACGGTGTCCGATGAAACGGCTGCCGTGACTATCGTGGGATATTGGTACGAAAGAAGCACAAAAGCTAAAGCGGTTATCTGCTTGACCTCACGAGAATCCGCAGATAAATCATCGATTAAAGGTGATCTTCTGGGACGGAATAATAATCGTCGCCTCATACCTGTCCCTAGAAAAATCTGGTGGTTCGTTTTATAAATGGATAAACGTGTTCAGTATACAGAAATACGACATAGGTTTCAATCCGTAGAATTTCGTATCAAAAATATAAATATTGTATACTGCAAGAAAATAGAATCTATTATATACAGGAAGAATAGACTATACGGTTGTACTATATATATGGAAAGAAATATAAGGAATGGATCGTGCTATTTTAATGGTAAGAGTCCTATACGATAAATATTGGAAGAATAAAAATATAATATTGGATAAATAAAAATGAAATATTTCATTGATTAGTTATCAGTATCGTTACGTTAAAAATTTTCTCTGATAGAGAGTTTTGCGCTTGGCAGAGTATTTTTATAGATTTATTTTATGAGTGCATCTCTTAATTGCCTCGGATTAAAAAATAATCTAGCGGAGAAGTTTACTTTTAAATACGTTGTTTCTTGTTCGCACATGTAAATGATTCATTACACGTGCCAACATTGACTCTATACATGCTCATCTGCGATTAAGTGCTTTGTAAATTGACCTGAAAAATCCACGTCACTTCGGTGCTGGTAGTTGTACGCAATGATTTAATCGCTCTAAGCGGCCATAGAATATCGATGGGACATTTGCGATGCGACAATTTTACCAGAATACCAGAAATTTCCGACTTTTCAGAGTGGTTGATACGTCGCGTTCGAGAGGTACGAGTAAACATTGCGATCATGCAACCATTCCAATACTTTTTGAACGATTTCACGAAGCACTCTATCTGATGCACGCTGGGACATTCAAACTTCTTCGCTCATTTAAGTATGACGTATCTCTACAATTTTTTTATTGCTACCTCCCAATATTTCAAAATATTCAATGTACAACTTTTCAAGCTTATCGAAAACCGATATGATTGTCCCAGTTAAAGATTTTAGTCAAGAATTGAAATAACACATTAATATAATGGAACGTAACTTTGCAATGAATAATCGCAAATCTTCAATAATTTGTATTATTTTTAGGCTGAATATTATATAAACATAAAAAATTATATATAAATATAATTACTAAAAAACGCATATAAAGTTATGTTATATTCTTAAATTATAAAACAACTTACTGTTAATGTTTCTTTTTATATTTTTAAAATGTTTGAAAAATAAATAAGTACAAGTTATTTTATTATCAGCAAAATCGTATAAACATAATATTTTACGTTACGTTTTTATTGTAGCGTCACTTGAATTTTTTGTGTTAGGCACATTTTTTATTTTCGTCTGCAACACTTTCATAAAGGATATTAGCTACGTGAGACATAGAATTAACAATACGTCTCTAAAACGTGTGTTTCTTGTATGCGTGTCATTTTACGCGGAAGGGGTTGATTGCTGGGTGTAAGTGGACATCCAGTATGTGGTAGAGGACGGTCGGGATGGTAGAAGGAAGCAACGCGCTTGATAAGGGAAATCTTCTTTCGAGCCTGCGGTGCCGACCGACATGTAATTTCCCCGGAATAGAGGACGGAATCCTGGCTCGGATACTGCCCGCACGGGTTACAAAGTTACTTTTACGAGAGTAGTGGGCAAATGTAAATGGGACCGGTGAGCGGCAAGGCACAAGCGAGTGAGAAAGCGAGAGAAATGAACGAAGGATCGAAAAGGGAAAATGAGAGAAAGAGTGGAAGGAATGAAGGGGTGATGTGGGAACGAACGGTGAAAGGAGAACGAAGGAGCGCGAGATGGAATAAAGGGGATGGGACTGTCGGAGTTTGTAATTGCAGCGGCTTTAACGCGCTGCTGATGGCCGATGGCACCCGGGACTGGGGTAATGGTCTGCACCAAATGTCTCTTCTTGTGAGAGGAGAAAGAGAGAGAAGCGAGAGACGTGGAAAAGAGTATTCGAAGAGACACCGAAGGTTCCGGAGACACATGGAATTGCATCGTTTTCTCTGCCACCGATTTTGTATGCTCATTTCTGTCCTATTGACATTTTTTTTCTAGCAAAATAATAAAAAATTTTGAACATTAATCTAATCCTTTGATAGACATATAAAGTTTAAACTTAAAATTCTCATTTTATGATGAGAAGCATCTATTAATGAATAGTCTTCAGAAAGAGATTTCAGTGTAATAACAATTTTAAAAAATTGACGTATATTTTCTTTTCAGAAGATTTATTTTATTTTATTTAAATTTCATTAATAATTGAATTTATATATTATATTTTTATAAATACCAGTTTATTTTACGACTTTGTGAAGCTAAACTATTTTTATCGACATGTGCATCATATTGAAATTTAATAATGCAGCTGCATTTGTTAGTCACAGCTTGGTTATACTGTGGTTATTTTTCCAAAAATGTTATTTATTGTCGATTGCTAAATTTTTTTTCTTTCATTCAGCTAAAGTCATAACAAAGCAGTGAAGTTTTATGTATCTTTATTAATACATACAAAAATTTTTAATAAAAAGATGTTGCTCTTGATGTATAAAATTTGTTATATAAAAAATATCATTCTTTTTGCCATGATAATTTTTTCTAAATCTTGAAAATTTAGAAAAAATAAATTGTCATTCTAATAGAAAAAATAATGTACCTGTCTCGTTGTAATTAAAAAAAATTTGTAAAGTATTTGTAAAATTTTATTTACGTCAATTTTTGTTGTAATTGTAAGAGAGAAAATTTA